TCCACTTTATCATTCTTTAGCAGGAACTACTCTTTGCATTTTACCCCCAAATTGTTTTCCCCCAGTTGTTCTGGGCAGCTCCCAGTCTGACAAGCATGACCGAAACCAAGCAAGAATCAACAAAATCGTCATAATGGCCATCTTAAGTTATCTCTGACATCGCTGTGTACGTCTTAGTTGTATCAGTTTATAAATGCAGAATACTTCGGGTTCACTTTGGGTTCAAATGCAGAAGCCAATGACACAGTATGTCATCAGCCCATTAATTCACACAGTATTTATAGTTTAATATTTCACTAAAATTAATAAAATATAGCATCAGAGAGAGAGAGAGAGAGATGTAGCATCATTACAAAACTGCTGTACATGCTGTGCCGCATGTTTATTATTAGTAGAGCGTATGGTACACTGTATTGTGATCAATTGGAAAACTGTGGCATTAGTAGTGTTGATAGTAGTAGTAGTAGTTAGTAATAGTAGCATGTTAATAATAAGACCAGTGCAGTTGCATTGCAACTATATTAAGGTTATAAAGAGGTAGTTGTGCAGATTTGAAGGGTAAAACTATAAAAAAAAATCTTAATTCGTAGCCTCGGGGCTTAAATCTCTCTTTCTTCCTATTGGCTGGGGTTTGTATTATTCATTCATTTATATTTTGCAGCGCTGTATCTTAGAAATTGTTAACTACATCTCTGTTCTGAGACATGATCTCCTGAAGCTACAGGGCGTATGGGGGACCTGGATTCAGCTCTTCAGGGGTCACATGTGACAGGATGCTCTTGAGCAATGTATACAGCGGTCCATACACCTTATCAACACCTGTATGAGCCGGTGAAGACATGTCAGGTCTTTTTTTTGTGCAGTAACAGCAACACCTCAAGTCTAACAGGAAACTAGCAAAGGAAGAGTAGACGCTGATCAGATTTGATGGCTCATGATAAGAGTTATACATTCAGGAGAGAGTCTCTGAGTGTTCATTGGCTTAATCAAATCAAGTGAATGGATCAAGATAAACTGGTGAACCACATTTATGGACCAAGTTAACATGCAAACTATTATTCCAAGTCTTCTGTCGGGCTTCGTTCATGAGAAAGGTCTGTCGGTTTAAAGTGGTGGTAGGATTTATATCTTATAACTGTCTATGAGTGGGCTCCACACATATAAACATACAGTATGAGTTTTAAAAACACTCTTTATATTGAAGTAGAAATTAAACAATTAGTCGAGGAATTGATCAGCGATATAAAATTGATTTGCATTCAGTGATTGGTTGTTTAATTCATTTATTTAAGCAGAAATGCTAAATAACGCTCTGGGTCCAGCTTCTCACTTGTAAATATCTTGTGTTTTTTATCTTGAGTACTTTTTGAAGTGTTGGTCAAACAAATGAAGCAGTTTAAATACGTCAACTTAGGCTTTAGGAACTTGTGATGGACATTTCTCACATGACTCAATCAATGGAGAAAATAATAAACAAAAACATTTAATGACAATAATTGTTGGTTTCAGCTCTATACTGACACAAACTAACCAAAAAGAGAAATGCATGAAACTTATTTTGTCATGCATTGTGTGGCAACATGCAAGTTGGCTTTTTCATTAAGATATTATAACTATCCAAAACAAATTATTTATATATTACATATTGTTATATTATAAATGAGCTTTGCTGTGGAATTTCTATTGTAGGCACTTCTCCAAATGAAGCGTATGTTATTGTGGTTACAATGAAAACAGACATTTGGAGTCTTTACTTCGCAGGTTAAATAAATGATCAAGTGCAATAAAGTGGGTAAACTCAGCAAACTGAACTGTTAGTCTGAACAGTTGCACTTGTCGTTATAGAGGCCACAGTGAGAGGGATCTTACCCAAATGTCCTGCAACAGCAGCAGCAGCAGTGTGTGTCTCAGCGGCGTGTGTGAGCAGGATGTTCCTCTGTGATGGGGATAAACTCTCGCTGGAGTGTGAAGTTGACGTTTCACTGCTTCCCATGTTACCGAGTTCATCTGTGGCGGTCGAATAATACAATCCTGCTGTTACCGGATCCGTGCTGTTGATGGTGGGGGTACCTGCCCCGAGGGGCCCCGGCAGACCCAGCAGGAGGACCGACAGACACACACAGAGGACCTGATTCAAAAACCACGTTTCCATGATTTCCAAGACCCCCACACGGTCGCCGATAGTTTCCGTAAAGTCGAGTACAGGCCGGGGGAGTCTCCCGGGGACACCATGGGAGGAGCGCTCCGGCTAGTAGCGAAGTTTCATAAGAATTAGATAAATCCTGGTGCAGGTCCGGAGGAGATCCGCTGCTCGGACGGCGGGGAACGGAAGATAACAGAGCCGAGGCAGCAGCCTATTATCACGGCGAAGGAGCGCGGGCTCCTCCTCCTGCACACACACACACACACACACACACACACGCACGCTCACACACCATCACAAAATAGTGGCTTTATTTAACCCATAGACAATTCAACCCAGGGGCTGCTTTTGCTGCCT